TCTTTATGCGCTCGCACCCCCACCGACGTTTCCAACCCCATCCTACGCCTTTAAAACCTCGTTCAATGTTAATTTATAACAAATCTGACTTTTTTTTTTCCTAATTCTAGGTGCTTCTGGACTCAAAATATTCCTCATGCATTTGAGGAGGTGGCACCAATCCGAAAAGAACCACAACTTTCTGTTTTCATCAGTTGGATGAATTGCACTTGGAGAGTTTTCACTTATGTTGAACTCTTGCCACATGACGCGGTTCCACTTCCCACCATCAGTGACCACCCCGTCAACACGCAAACCTGCGTTCTCACACAAGGTAATACCCTCCAAGAGAATTTTTGCCAGTGTGTCTCCCTTCACATTACCTTTACTGAGAAAACAACCCAGACTCTGAATCCAACCCCCTTGGAATGGTTGGAACAGAATGACCAAGGCATGGTCACCCATTTCATCCCTCTGATCATGTGGAGTGAATTTCCCCATATCGACAAAGCCCCATTGCTCCAGAGTGTTCTTATCAAATTCTACTCCACTTTGCAACTTGACCTCATCAAGTAGAATGGTTCCTGCAAGCGATCACCAACATTATCATCATGGGCCATTTGTAATACGAAAAATGATAAAGAGGACTTACCATGTCTCTCCATCTCTGTCCAATCCTGTGTTTTTTGTCCCAAAACACTGAATAACGACTGCTGGAACCCATAGGCTGGTCGCATCTTTTTCATGTAGGAGTTAATTTGGGAGCGGGAGGGAAGAGGCATAATTTTTCGGGCTTGAATGTGTCTATATAGAGAGGGGCTCTTGATCCTCATTAACAGACATTGATAAACCCAGTCTGCCTCATAACGCATGCCTGATGGTCCTCTAATCCTAGCTGCCCGAAAGCATGTCAGGATCATTACTTGCTGCGTAATAGGCAGCATTTTGATTTGTTCCTTCAGTTTCTCCCGCTTCACCAATTGACACCTTTCGTACAAGAATTTTACATTCTTCTTTGCTTGCTGAAGCTGTCAAATGAAAAAATAATGATTAGTACACCTAAGATGTTTTTGGTAAAACTATTTACATTGAAACCAGTCAACCAGAATTACCCTCAATTTTATTCTTTTGTTGCTCCTTCTCAGACTCTTCACAATCTCTCTTTTATTTTGCTTTATTTTTTCTTTCTTTGTCTCTGCCTTTTTTCGCTGTCTTTTCAGACGTCTTCTTGTGTTTCTGCAAAGGGCGCATCTCACTGCCTTATGAGACGCCACCCAGCCAGAGCAATTTTCATTGAACTGTCCAAAATCAGCTCCCTGGCATAGTTGCAATTTATCAATACGTTTTACCAAATCTTCAAAATCAGCCAGGGAGCTGAGATTGTTGGGGAATCCTCTGATTTTTTTTTCATTCACTTCTATGACTATTTCATTATTTTGGTTCACATGAATGCTATGAGTTATTGTGGGCTTTTTGATTACAGATATTTTACAAATTGTTGTGACTCCATTACTGAAATGGACTGCCCAGGCTGTATTCGGAAGTTCCATGGAATGGAATGTGAGAAGAGGATGATCAGACGTTTCGACTTCTTCATGCATTTGAGGTGAACAATTTTCCTCTTCAATTGTCTTCCTCCTCTTAATGATACTATCTTGTTCTAATTCTGACTTCCTTTTTCTAGGGGATTTTCTCTTCTTTTCCACCTTGGACATGTAATCAGGGCAGCACGGAAATTTTGTTGGCACAGCATCATCTTTCAAATGAGGAGTTTTTC